CAAGGGTAAGGAACCAGGGAGGTAAACGTAAAGAAAGAATCTGAAAGAGAACAGTAGGAAACAGGTTTTAATAAGGGAGATATGGATAAAAATTGGGTTAGTTTAAGGGAGAGGGGAGGGAAGTGTATACAAGGAACCTAGGGGATAAAGGGAAAGGCGCATAAGAGAGGTAGGACTGTAGGAGAAGCGTCTTATTAAGGGAGAAAGGGGGAAATGGGGGTACCTTAATTGGGGAAACTGTGATGGAGGGGTTAGACAATGCGAGAGATAAATAATGCCTAGCTAGTTTTAAAAACAGGAGGGAATCATATTAGTCCAACAACCTACTGACAAATTATACATACCAGATCAAGAAATATATGTCTAGGCAAGGTTTATCTGAGAATAGTTGGTCTTTGCCCAAGATTTATCTACATGGCACATGGTAATTAAAAGTATCAGACTGGTGGACCTAACTTTCTTAGATGTTTAACAGACATACTTTGAGGCCTATACTGATTTGGTCAGAGGGACATAAAGGACAGTTTTTGCTCCTTGCTCTCCTAGGTCGACTAGTTCCATCTCTCAAAATGTCCTGTAATTGTGGTGGGTCACCTGTCCTCTTGATCAAGTAGGTCATAGAGACCCCACGAGATGGACTTGAACCAGTGTCCAGTCTACAAAGAGAAGGGTCAACACAGAAGATTCATTTCCTCCATGCTTCCAAGTGAAGCCAGCCATGGTCAAGCAGGACCTTTGGCTTATCTTCACATAGGCGGAACTGGTAAAAGAAAGGAGCCAGGGCTTCTCCCAAGCCCATGTGACCCCTGAGGACCAGATCCTCAAACAACCTTAAGAGTAAAAATAAATTGGTTTGATAGCGGCACCCCCAGCTATTCCCCACTGCTTGTCCATCTGGTGAATCTAATCAGCCTATCTAGAGGTCTTTGTTTTAAGAAGGTCAGCTGTTCCTCATCCAGCAGCAATCAGTTATCAGTATTCCTCTAGATAAGATTGGGGTCTGCTGGTCAAAAACAATGAGTCTTTCTGTAAGAAACTGTATTTTTAAAATGAAATGGAGATCTTTTTTAAAGGTTAAAAACTGATTCAATTTTATGTCTTACAGGTCTTATACTGAGTTCAATATTGTATAAGTATTAATTTAACAGTGAACCTAAAAATTTTGTAGCCACTTTTGAAAGAGATGTATCTTTGCTCTGGAAACTGTTATTGAGTATGTTAAAGCTGTAATGAAATGCTTCTAAAAAAAAAAAAGAAAAAGTAAAAAAAAAAATTGAAAAAAAAAGATCCATTTATTTTTACTTTATGTATAGGAATGCTTGCCTCCATGTATGTACACTAGATGTGTATGCCTGGTGTGCACAGAGACATTGGAACTTATAAATGGTTGTGAACCACCTTGTGGGTGATGGGAACTGAGCCCAGGTCCTTTGCAAGTAATGGGTGTTCTTTCTTTTTTTGGTTTCCCATCTTTCCTAGAACTTGCTAATGTAGATCAGGCTGGTCTCATTCTCACAGAGATCTGCCTGCCTCTGCCTCACTAGTGCTGGTATTAAAGGAGTGTGCCACCACCTGGCCCCATAATGGGCATTTTTATCTTTGTGTATAAAACCGTAGGTGTTGGGGTTGGAGAGATGGCTCAATGGTTAAGAACACTAACTGTTCTTGCAGAAGACCCAGATTCGAATCCTAGCACCCACATGGCAGCTAACAACTGTCCATAACTCCAGTTCCAGGGGATCTGATGACTTCTTCTGTCCTCTGCAGACATTGCACAACATGGGTGTATTTACATATATGCAAGCAATACATGGATATACATAAAATTAAAAAGAAAAAAAAAACAAACTATAGGTGTTAACCTAGCAGGGTGTACTTAGTGTTTTTTGGACCTCAGTGCCAGTATTATACCGAGGTGATTCTTACAATTCGTGAATTTTTTTGTGGGCCAAGCAGTAAAACACATTTAAGCATGTATTTTGTGTGTGTTTTCAGGGTACTGGGTAGAGCGTCTCGGGGTATTAAGTACTAGTTGTACTTTGAGCCGTTGAATCGAGTTCACACACCTCAGAGCCTCACAGCAGTCCCCAGTGCAGTATGTTTGTTGACTGCTTGGCCAGGAAGGGTAGCCTTGCAGGGTTATAGGTTTCAGACCTGTCTGGCAGGGCTGTGTCCTGAGTTTCATTTTTCAGGAGGCACTGACCTCACTGTCAGGCCCCATCTTAGAAGAATATTCTTTCACTAGATGAGATGATGGGTTTTTCTAGAAAGAAAAATAAAAAGAATCAGCAGGTTGTAGTGAAGACTGTGAAGGAAGACTCTGTTACTTGTCCTTGTGGCCCTGATCATGGAGGCCTTCTGGGAAGGATGGGAATTTGAGTATGGGGTGAAGGTAAGTGCAGATAGCCTGCGTCAGCTCTACAAGTCTAGCTCTCTCACGCTCTAAGGCAGTACTTTTGAAGGTCTGCTGGCTCCAGTGGTTGATGAACAGACATGCTGCTCCCATGAACAGGAAGCATACTGCCTATTGGGAGACATACCTTGGGGAGGCACCTTAACACAAGGGGGTAGAAGGAAGGAGGCCTATGACAGATGGGATGAGAGAAAGCTTCCCACTGTACCTCAGCACATGGGGGAGGGTAGAAGGAAGGAAACCTGTGACAGATGGGATTAGAGAAGGCCTCCCTACTGTACCTCGGCACATGAGTAAGATAGAAGGGGTTTTGTGTTGTTCCCTGACACATGGGGTAGCTTAGTGACACTCTAGGTGCAGATGATGAGTGTGCAGCACTCTGGACAGGGTGGCACGGTCTGGTTTCAGCATGGACTCAGTGCACTAGCGTGGGGTAGCTAAAGGAGGTCATGGCTGAGGTGCAGAGATGATTGGCTTTGGAGGAGATGGACTAAGATGCAGAAGGGGGGCTGAGGAGAGAGAGGATGGACTGCAGTTAGAGGAGGAGCATAGACTGAAGTGCAGTGTAGAATTGGGTGCAGAGCTATTGGAAGAAGGCACAGCATCTCTCATCTCATGGCTGCTTTGCTTCCTGCACATGAGAATTTGATGTCAAGCAGTGGAATTGTGGCTGATAATAGCTAAGAGGATGTTTCAGAGTAAGAGAGCCAAAGGGCATCTGCTGCTTGGAGGCCCATCCACGGCAGAGTATCAGGAGATTTGGTTGCACAGTGGTGATGCTTTTTTCATATGTGTATGGTGGTGGCAGCGTGGTGTTTGTGACTCAGTTGCTGTTGTTTAGACCAGACTGTCCTTGAACTTGGGGGCGATCCTGCAGCCCCTGCCTGCCAAGTGCTGGCTTACAAGTGTATGCTACCATACTGGACTCAATTTCTTTTTTGTTTCCAAATGTGGCAACATTAAGGAATCTAATATTCATCAGTAGTAGACAAATTGTGCATTCAGGAACTTCAGAGATTGTAACAATGTGGCTTAATCACCTTTCTCAAACTCTTCCAGAGTTACTAAAAGCCAGAGAAAAATCTCTGGCTCAAAAGTGAATGTGAAAAATATTAGCAGAAATAGGTACTACTGAAAACCTGCATGGTGAGGAAAGAGTTGAATTGATTGCTAGTTTGATGCCACAGTGTCTGTGGAGACCTGGAACAGACCGGAAAGAACAGTACAGAGTATTTTCCTGAGATGCATTTCACAGAGCTGCCTGGAAGGTGACTAGGAACAAGCCCTTGTCTGTGGAGGCTGGGAAGGAAGGGTGTAGTGGTGCTTAATGTGTGCATGTGTGTGTAGCAGTGCACTTCAGACATGGGTTTGTTGTGACCCAGGGTTTAAGTCAGAGAAGTTAGAGGTGTGGGAGAGTCCTGAGCAAGGACAGTAGTAGACAGTGGGCTGTTTCTCACAGTGAAATTATACAGCACAAGAAAGTCCTCCACAAATGATGCCCTCTGTTTCAGTGACTGCCATACCACAGGGACATCAAATTGAGTGAAAGATCGTGAGAAGCAGTGAGTGTGCCCCAAGTGCATGTGGGGTGTTTTAGTGTGTACAGCTGTGCTCCAGGGAATACCCCCGAACATTCACCATCCAGTAGCTTTGGTAGGAGATGCGCAGTTCTTGCCTACTCAAAACCCAGAGTAGATTTGCAGAGGGAGATCTTTCTTGAGGCTTACTGAGCTATGCACAGCTCAGCATCCCTCAGACAGCACATTACCCTCAACTTGGAAACTGAAGTCTAATTGAATAGGCCTGGATGGTTAGATAGCCTAGCGTTAGCAGAGAAAAGCACATTCTTCACTCCAGGTCTTCAAGTGAACTGGGAGGTGAGTCTGCTCGTCTGATGCGTGTTTACCCTTGTGGGACTTTTCCTAGGGAGATGTAAACAGATAAGACCAGCTACAGACTAAAGTAACAGTTCTACCAAAGTGCAAAACGATGAGTTTATTGGCGTTACTTATGGGAGTATTGGTGAGGGGTTACTCAGGAGCATGGGTGACTCAAGGGCAGCTGCCTCTCTGAAAAAGCCCAGGCCAGCCTTGGGCGACAACTCACAAAAGCTGCGTTCCTGGAACTCTCTACATCGCCTACAGACTTGCAGGCAGCTTGAAAGTTTGGAGTCTGCTCTCCCCTGCAGTTGTTGACTGCTCATATGGCCTTGGAGGAGCTTGTGAATCCTGGCCTGTGCTTTCATCTTTCTAGACTGGGGTTTTTGTTTATGCCCCAGTCTCCTGAGCCTCCTCCATCCCCAGGAGGGGTGATTTCAATTCAGAGGAAATTGCTACACAGCAACTATATACATAATTATGGATTCCAAATGGGGGGAGGAGGGGATACCTGTTCCTCGCATGGTGGATGGACCAGTTACAGAGAATCCATAAAATAAAGCTTATTTTTATGCATGACGTTCATCTTTATAAAATAAAGCTTTGGCCAGGTGTGATGGTACATGCCTTGAGGTCTCAGTACTTGGGACGCAGAAGCAGGTGAATCTCTGTGATTCACCTGGGGCTACAGGAAGACCCTTTTCAAAAACAAATAAGTAGTTAAAAAACAAAACTTTTATGCTTGGCAGTGTGTGTGGTGTGAGTGCGGCCCGTGTGCACCCGAGCCTGCATGGAGACCAGAGGAAGAGGTCCTCTTCTGTTACTCTGTGCCTTCCTCCCTTGAGATGAGATACACTCTCTCCTTGAATCTCAAGATCACTGTTTTTCAGCTAGGCTGGTGACCATCAGGCCCAGTGATCCTTGTCTCTGCCTCTCTAGCTCTGGGGTTATAGATGGGCACAACCATGTCCAACTCCTTTTTATGAGTACTGGGGATATGAATTCAGGCTTGAATGCTTGTAAAGCAAGTGCTCTTGCACTGAGCCATATTCCCAAGCCCTGTTCTTATCTTTTAAACAATTGTATGTTGCTTTATGCTCTTCCTCCCCAGGGCTTTATCTTTATAATATGTGCCTCCTTGATTTTGGTTAGCCAGGTTCTTTTTTAAGTAAAGTGCAGGGGAGTTGGTGGAGAGCTTATCTCCTGCTCAAGGGTCTGGAATAAAGCTTGTGACTGTTAGAGGTAGATGATGACAGGTAGAGAAGTGAGAGGTCTGTACTTTCACCTAATGGCTCCCCTCCACTGATGACACCTTTGCTCTCTTGCAGAGTTCTCTGGGGTCTTGCATCAGTGTCACATCCTGGCCTCTGAGATGGTGCACTTCATTCACCAGATGCAATATTACATCACCTTTGAGGTACACTGACCTTTCTGTCCTGTTGAGTGTAGTTGAGCAGTGTGAAAGATGCTTCCTGGGGAAGAACACAGCCCCTCCAAAAGTCTCAAATTGTTGTTTCAGGTGCTTGAGTGTTCTTGGGATGAGCTTTGGAACAGAGTCCAGCAGGCCCAGGACTTAGACCACATCATTGCAGCTCATGAAGCATTCCTGGATACCATCACCTCCCGCTGTCTCCTAGACAGTGACTCCAGGGTAAGGCTCCCTCCTGCAAGCCAAGACTGAAATTGGAAGCTTCTCTTCTTGGGTCCCCATCAAACTGAACAGTTTGAAAATTGCCAGGTGCAGCCACATTGGTGATAATTGAGGCAGGCTTCTCAAGTTTGATGTTTGGGGTACTTTTGAATGGGGTACTTGTGAAATAAGAATGAGCTCTTAACATGCCTCACATGTATGTGAACATGGTGGCGAGCAATGGTGTGTACCTTTACAGAGTTTAGAAGAGAGTTTGTCAAAGATGTTGTATGATGTGGCAGGATATAACACCAGACCAAGTGGTGGCAAGTACAAAGGTCCTGAAGAATAGTGTGAAGAAATCCCAATCTTAGACTGCTTCCCTCCTTCCTTGTACTGAGATTCCATCCTAGGGCCTTTGTGTCCTAGACAAGTGCTCTACTACTGAGCCATACCTCATCCTGCTTTTTCATTTTTGTAGTCTAGCCGGGCATGGTGGCGCACACCTTTAATCCCAGCACTTGGGAGGCAGAGGCAGGCAGATCTGGGCCAGCCTGGTCTACATAGTGAGTTCCAGGCTAGCTGGGGCTACAGGAAGACCCTGTCTCAAAAAGACCAAAAAAATCATTTTCATAGTCTAGGGATAATGGTATTTTCTCCTTTAACCTTCATGAAGTACATGACTAGGTACATTTGATGACTTAAGTGCGTATAAGTGAGCCATAAGCATTCCCATGGCCTCAGGTTTTCTGCTAGTGTTTTTTTCCTGTAGCTCCCCTATTCTGGGACATATCAGCAGTGTAGTGCACAGCACTTGCTGTTGCTACAGTCTTTCAGCTCATTTTTGTGACTATAACTGAGTACCCAAGCCTGGGTGATTTAAAAAAAAAATAGACGGGGACTGGGGAGATAGCTGAGCAGTTAAGAACCCTGGTTGTTCTTGCAGAAGACCTGGGTTTGAATCTCAGCACCCACATGGCAACTAACAACTGTCCGTAACTCCAGTCCCAGGGGATCCGACAGCCTCTTCTGACCTCTGCAGGCATTGCACGACACGGGTGCATTTACCTGCACGCAGGCAATACACACATAAACATAAATTAAAAATAATAAAATATTTTTTTAAAATAGAGATTTATTTTGACTCATCGTCCTGGAGGCTGGAAGTCAGAATTACGGCTCCAGCATCTGCTTAGCTTCTGGTGAGGAATTGTGCAGCATCATAACTTGGCTGCAAAGCTGAAGGGCAGTGTGCCTGTGTGCGGGAGTGGTGCACATGATCAGTGTGTTGTGTCCTGGCCATGCAGGAGAGCAGAGCAAGTGGACGGCCTGCTTTAGGACAACTCAGTCCTGGGAGAGTGTACCAGCTACTAGAGAGCAGAGTTTTCCTTTTGTGAGGGTGGAGGCCTTGTGACCCAATTGCTCTCTAGTCCCCACTCCTCCAACATAGTTAACACTGGGGACGAAATTTCCGAATTCTGAGGAGACGAAGTGCCCCCAAACCACAAGTATAGTACCTTTTTACCCTTTTCTGATTAGAATGTTCCTGTTCATTTAAAAAATGGCTGTCTTTTCAGGTGCTTTTTTTTTTTTTTACTTTTATCTGCTTTTATTTTATGCTCAGTTTATTCTCATGCCGTAAGTTTTTGTTTCTTTAGTTTCTTCTGGGATGTCTTTTTCTTTTGTGTACCTTCCTCTTCAGGCTTAGGAACAATGTGTTCCTTTTCAGTGAGGATCATTTCGATATGGCAGGGGGAGCTCATGTGTGGGTTAATACAACTGTAAGCTCTGTAAGTTCTGTGGTACATCTTGGGCGATTTGTTCACCTGGATATGCTTAATGACCAGAGAGTCTACGTATGGACCCTTAAGTTCAGCATTACTTTCTGCATTTTTCAGGTACTTTTAAACCAACTTAGAGCTGTGTTTGATCAAATTATTGAGCTTCAGAATGCTCAAGATGCCATCTACAGAGCTGCTCTGGAAGAATTACAGAGGCGACTACAGTTTGAAGAGAAGAAGAAACAGCATGAGGTCGAGGTATGGCTTTTACACCAGCACTTTATCAGCTCTTGCCAGTTACCACAGGCGGTGGCCAAGTGCTTTCCTGCTGCAGCTCCATACTCTCCAGGGCTATGTTGCACGTTTACTTTGGGGTCCCAGGCTTCTAAGGTCAAAGGTCCATTGGCTGTCGCCATCACGTGTTAGAACATAAAGGATAACAGTGTTCTCAGGGTCCCAAGTGCAGTTCACGTGTCACCGTCTGTTCTGGCTAGCCCTGCTATGTCACTCTGACTTGAAGCTCAGGGATCAGACTCAAGTGACTGTGACTCATTTCACAGATGTAAGAGCCAGATAGATCTCTTCAGGATAGTTCAGTGAGGTTGTCAGTATGTGTTCTCAGTGGCCTAGAATTCAGGAGATTCCTCAGATAAGTTTGGCTGAGCATGGAGTTTCTTCTTGCTGTGATCTGCTCTGTCTCCTGCTCTTTCTAGATGCGTAGTCTTGGAATGATCAAAGCCAGGTTGTTCAGTCAGTGGTTTGGTTAGTTCCACTATTATTGTTTCGGTGAAGCTATGTGACAGGCCTGGCAGCCCCTTGCACAGGAGCTGAGTGTAGGTGTTTTGGAAGCAAGAGTACATGTCCTTTAGGTGCTGCTGGGTTGTCTCATGGCTATAGACGGGTTTGTGGGTAATTCTGAAGAGCAATGGAGTTTGTGCACATAATCTCCTGATCCATGCTGAGCGGCCCTGTGGTGACTAGGGGACAGACAAGGGGTTTCTAGCTCTAGCTTACTGTCTGTGCTTTTGGTAAAGTTGTCATCTGTGACATGGCTTGTAAAGTTAGTGTGACAGTCTCAGTGCACGTTTTCATAGGCGACAGTACATGGTACTTACCTAGTGTTGAGTTAGTGTAATAAATGTTAACCACTGCCATTCAACTGCCTGTTTTTGGAAGCTGTCCTTCTAGAAAAGTGTTAAACTCTATAAAAACCTATAGAAAACCAGCCTTTAGGAGTTTATCATTCTGGCAGTGACAAGGTGTCTAGTTGTGTGCATGGCAGCGGACCAGCAGCAGCAGAGGGGACACAGCCACATGGCGAGTGCAGGCTTATTTGGTGTGTATCACTCACATGCCCTTCAGAGTCTGGGAAGAGGTGTCAAACTGAAACCACCTGCAAAATCATTTAGATTCAAAAGGTAAAATAGGACTGGAGAGATGGCTCAGTGGTTAAGAACACTGACTATTCTTACAGAAGACCCAGGTTCAAATCCCAGTACCCACATGGCAGCTAACCAGTCTGTAACTCCATTTCCAGGGGATCCGACAGCCTCTTCTGTCCTCCACGGGTGTTGCATGACATGGGTGCACTTACCTACATGCAGGCATAACACTCATACACATAAAATAAAAAATAAAATATTTAAAAAATTTTTTCAAAAGGTAAAATAATTTTTAAGGCTGCCATTTAGATGTAGGGTCCACTGAGTTTGTGAAGAGAGTGAGAATTGACTCCTAAAGGATTTTAGAATCCTGAAGGATGTTGCCGTGGAGGTTGGTTTCCTGGTTCTGTCACGCTGCTGTTAGGCGGAGGAGTCCCAGAGGTCCTTCCTCCTTCAATTCATGGCTCCTCTCTGCTCTCTTCCCACTTTTCTTCTCAAAACCCCTTCAGTTATTATGATATTTCCAATTCAAATTTAGGATTGAAGGGCTTTTACTTCCTTCAGTTTTTAAAAAGTGCATTTTATACATTGACACTCTTGGTTCCTAACATTAGCATACTTAGTTCCTGCTGTCTCTGACACCCACACCTGTGCACACACCCCTGTACTCAGCTGTCTTAGAATAAGATCCTGGTACCATCACCAGAGATAGTTTGGGGGTGGGGCATAAAATCCTCTACTGTTTACACCTCCCCGAGAATCTGCCCCTAGGTAAGTGTGTTCAGATTCCACGTTGTCCTATGCAGGAAGTGGCGACCTCATATGCTGTGCTGTCAGCTTAGGGCAGACAGAGTTGCTTCATTCTTGCTGGTCTGTGTCTTCTCTCTCAAGAAAATGGTTGTGAAGCTCCAGGGTCTTACCAAACTGTGGCTTATCGATGAAAAATATGTTAAAGAATGTTTGAAATTATTCCAATACAGAAATCTTTGTATTGGTCTTACAAAAGTATTGTAACTCACTTTTATAAAGTAAAGGGGAAACAAAAAAATCAGTGAAAATCAAGGAAAATCTGGTTAAAGATTTGTGTGGAAGCATTTTACTCATTGGTGAAATGCTAAGAATATTTTCCACGCCATGGCCTATGTGCTGAGACCCCGCAGCTGAATAGCTGCAGCAGAGACCACATGGCCCCAGACCTTAGAACATTTATGAGAAGGCATGTGGACTTCTGAGAGAAAGCAGAGGTGCTAGCCAGAGGAATGTCTGTACTGGAGAAAGAGTTGACAGAGATCCACCTGTCCAAGTTATAATTCTAGGAGTTTTGATTTCCTTTGTTCTTGGGGTGGAACTTTGTAAATCATTTATGAAATGTAAGTGGGAATAAGGCCTAGTATAAAGACAATTGAAGAGCAGATTTAAGGATATACATTTATAATTGAGATTGTACTCCATTGTCCCCCATTCTCCCGTGTCCTACTGTGTTTCTGGGTTCAACATACTATGTTTCAGAACTCTTTGGGGAGAAAAATTGCATTCTACTCAACATGTGCAGACTTTTTCTTATCGTTTTTCCCTGAAAAATACAGTGTAACTGCTATTTGCATAGCATTAGCACCATATCAGATAGCAAATGATCTAAAGATGGTCTAACACAGGTAGATAGATGACTGTAGTAGCTTTTGCATATAAGGGATATAGATGACTTGACATTTGTGGATTTTTGGGACTCCATCAAAGGTCCTGGAACCAGTCCCCTGAGGATACTGACTTTCTTAGTTTCTTTTCCAGTTGCTGTGACAAAATACCTTGACAAAAGCAACTAGGGGAGAATTGGTTTATTTCAGCTCATGGTTCTGGTTCCAGGTTTACAGCCCTTCACAGTGACTTGAGGGAGCTGGTCACATCACATCCACAGTTAGGAACAAAGAGCAAAGAAAGATGCATGCTTATGTTCAGCTCTCTCTCCTTTTCAGCAGTAATGACCCATCAAACAAAACACGATGCCCATGTTCAGGGTCAGTCTTCCCACCTCAGTTAACCCAATTAAGAGAAGCCCTCACAGTCATGCCCACAGGCCAGCCTAATCTAGACAGTCATTGACACTCTCACAAGTGATTCAAAAGTGTGTCAGCCTGGCACTCTAAATACATCACTTTAAGCCATAACCTTCCACTCTTTGTCCCCCAAATTTTGTATTTATCTTATAATGAAAAATAAAGTCCAACTTTAAAAATTCCCCTAGTCTTTAGAAATTTCAACACTTCGAAAGTCCAGTCTCTAATAAACTGTGAACTCCTATAAAACCTACAAGTTATAAACTTCCGAAATATAATGGCACAAAATAAAAATGTCTGTTTCCAAAACCCCAAATCCAGCAGGGCAAATAACAAATTCTGCAGCTCTTTGTCCATCATCTGAGGCTCATGATGAGACTGGCTGGGCTCCAGAGGGTTCGGTCGGCTCCACTCCTTCAGCTCTGCTCTTGTGGCAACAGCTTCTCTCTTTGGCTTAGGCCAGCTCCACTCCTTCCCATAACCTTCCTTAGCTTATGTCCCCATCTGGGTCCCCAACATTCTGAAGTCTCCATGGCAGCTTAGGCTTCATCTTTACAGCTTTGCTTAATGGCCTCTGAGGGCATCTCTGCAGGGATTCAACCCTGCCACACAGTGCCTGGCCTCAGCTGCTCTCCGTGACCCCTTCATTCTTTCATCTTTCATGCCTTCAAAACCAGCAGCACATAGACACTATCACCAGCTGGAGATGTAGCCTGCACCCGACCCCCAAACTCCCCAAACCTCAGCTGTATCTGTGGACTGACCCTGAGGAAACACTTTGCTGTTGTCCCAGTCAGTTCAGGTGCCAGGTTTCTCTTTAGTGGTGCTGGTCTCTGTAGCAGTTACAGCTGCTTTCCTGTCTGCATTCTCCTCGTTCAGAAACTTCTAGCTTGCCCACACACCTTTCTTTCAAATTAATCTATTATCTTTAAATTCAACTTCACTCAAGTTCTCAGGACACAGACAGAATGAAGCCAGACTCTTGGCCAAAATATCACATGAATAGCCCAAGACCAATTCCCAATACAGCCCTTGTTCTCCTCTGAAACCTCATAAGCCAGGTGTCCACTGTCCACATTTTTCTTAGCTTTACACTCTTCCAAGCTCCCACTACAATGGCCCATGAAGCTTTGCTCCCAGCATTCACTGGCTTTTCTAGCCTAAAGTTCCAAACTCTTCTACATTCCTCCCACAAAACAGATCCAAAGGTCTAGAAGCCACATGGGAAGGGTTTTTTTTTTTGTTTTTTGTTTTTTTTTTTTCCATAGCAATGACACCATTCTTGGTACCAGGTCTTGTCTTACTTTTCTTTTCTATGCTATGATAAAATATCCCAGTTCCTGATATAGTCCTTGTTTCTGTCTGAAACCTCATGAGATGGACCTGGATGGTTGGAGGGTAGTGGGTGCAGTAATCTATTAACTGGTCTAATGGCTAATGAGTGAGGAAAGCACACATGGAAAGTAAGAGAGAAAAAATACCCATGTTGCTTAGGTCTGTGGAAATAAATTGACAGTCATGAAGGAAACTAATCTATGGATTTCCAAGTGGACCCCAGAAGGGAGTGGAAATCCTCAGCCAAATGACAGCTGAGGTTACTGAAGGCTCTGCCAACAGAGAATAACACTGGCCCTGCCCAGAAACCTCCTAGTGGCCAGCTCCATGCTCTGCTCCATAGCCACTCCAAGCCATGGGAGGGGCTATTACCAGACAGTGTGAAGCATCCCATTGCTGATACCGAAACTCAGAACAGATCTGAGTTTTGAATATCAGTGGGAAAAACAGATAAAGTGTCAATGATAAATCCTAGCAGGGGAACAGAGTAACTTACCAAGATCAGGATTTATGAGAGGTCTCACTACTGGAACTTAACCATTCTTCTGCCTCATTCTTCCAAGCATTGGGATTACAGATGTGGACTATCACACATGCCTGACTGAAAATAATGTTTTAAAATAAAGGTGGATGGATATATCTCTAGGAAAAAAATACCTCACTCTAAGCAAAATTGTCAGAAGTGTTTCCTCTAGAGCCAAGGCAGTGCAAAAAGTTGATTAGTTCATTTGTGTCTGTTTTCTGAGTAAGAAGTAAATGCAGAGTGACGAAACAGGACTACCCATTACACTGTTCGTAGTCACAGGAGATTGGTTAGTGGGAATGGATTGCATAGTATAACATAAGATGCTGTTGTTAGAAACAAGGGGCACCTGCAAGTTGAACTTGCTACTTCTAATTTTTCAGGGCCAGTGGGGCGTGACAGCAGCAGAGGAAGAGGAGGAAAACAGGAGAATCCGAGAATTCCAAGACTCTATACCAAAAATGTGCTCACAGTTGAGAATATTGACACATTTCTACCAGGTGTGTATTAAGTACAAGCCACTGCACCCTCTTATGTGACTGGTGGTTGCTTTCAAAGGGTTAGAAATGACCAAGGCAGCTTGGCTCTGCCTTGTCACCTGAGCAGCACCCAGGATAGAGTCTCCAGGGAGCTGGGGCTCCCCTCAGGGCAGCTGTGTAGCCAGGATGGGGCCCTGGGGACCTGTGACATACCCTTGCTGTGGTTGGTGGGGCAGAGTTGCAGGCTTGCTGAGAAACTAAGCCATGAATAGTCACAGTGACTTTGCTGTGTTAACGTTGGAGTAAGCGTGCCACCTACCAGAAAGGCTGCTTTTCACAGTGGTGTGGAGCCGAAGTAAGGGACCTGTTTTTCCTGTCAAATTGCTGATGAAGTGTACATTCCTAAGCCGTATGAGAATGAAAATATAAAACTTTAAGCTATAAATTCATAACAACCAAATCTATTACTTTGTACATGTGCACTGTTCAGTCATAGTTGAACTGCGAATACAAGAGATGTAAAGGTGGATGAAGTGTTTTATTTTCAAAATTTTGATAAGCATTAGAAAGAAGTCAACTTGGATAATGAAATTTCTTTTCTTGCATATTTTTTAGCATGCACTACTGTAGTTATTCTTGTAGAGTGTAAGGGCAGAGGGGATATCAGGTGGTTAGTTGCTTTTATGCTATGTGCACTGACTGTTTGTATCTGTATGAACTGTAGCTCCTGGTGGGAGCTGCAGAGGGGATATCAGGTGGTTAGTTGCTTTTATGCTATGTGCACTGACTGTATCTGTATGAACTGTAGCTCCTGGTGGGAGCGGCACAGGCCAAGCAAATGCCAGAGCTTGATGTGTGCCATTTCTGTTAGAGGCTTGTTGATGTAACAGCATAGGGAGGGGCCATGCATGGCCAGCCTTTCTGACTGACTGTCGTGTGGTTTCATCTTAGGGTGTTGTGCAGCAGTTTCTGGTGTTGCTGACGACCAGCTCTGATGAAAGTCTTCGATTTCTCAGCTTCAGGTTGGACTTCAATGAACATTACAAAGCCAGAGAGCCCAGGCTCCGTGTTTCTCTGGGCACCAGGGGGCGGCGTAGTTCCCACACGTGAAGTGTGGGGGGGTCCTCCCTTGGAGCCTGGGTTATTAGATGCCCACTCAAGCCCAGATGCTCAAGCCCAGACCCTCCAGGCAGCTGGGGAGCTGCAGGAGGCCCCTGTCTGCACACAGGCCACAGTGTTCCAGCACCGTGTCTCATGGAAATAGTCTCGTTACACACTGGATTGAGTGTGATGTCACTAAATTCAACAGGCTGGCTCACCCACTCTTAAGTCTTCATAGTTGAAGGACACTGTGATGTGTCAGGGTGTCCTAAGATCTCCATGGTATAGTGTCACTTAAACAAAACCCTGTTTCTTTTAGCAAAATCTTAGGACAGTGGTGTGTTCAGAAATTAAGATGGCAATGTCATTGCTATTTTTTTAACATCCTCTTAAGAGGCAGCTTTTATTACCATGATCAAGTTAAATTGAAACAGGTCCTTACTAAGAAAATACACCAGAGCAGTTGTTTCGGTTTTAATGTTCTAAAATACTAGCCCGCGTGAGGAAATTATCCGTGTATTCCTTCACACGTTTTTTTCTCTTCTAAAGTTTACATTTTTATATTTGGTTTATTTCAAATAACTTGTTAGAACAGTACAAAAACAGTCGGAGTGATAGGGAACAGAAATGTCCTTAACCAGGGCAGCCCGGCTGAAGGCAGCCAGCTGAACAGTGTGAATATGAGAGAGGCGAAGGCAGATGAAGTGTTTTATTTTCAAAATTCTGGTAAGCATTGGAAAGAAGTTAACTTGGATAATGAAATTTCTTTTTTCCTTGCCTATTTTTTCATTGTGAATATTTATATACTACTGGCCAGATGTTAGAGGGAACTGTTTTTTTGTAAAAATGTCATATCAGGTCACATAAATATGCCTTTTTTATGTTGCATAAGTGAGAAAGTAGAAAATTAAAAACAATTATCTTTCACATGTATCGTTTATTTCTTGAATAGCCTGTGAAGAAACTGTTCATTTCCTGGGTTTGGGGTGGGGATTGGTAGATTTTGGTTTAATGTGCTACAGTGCATGCATGAAGTATATGATTTGTGAAGTCCAGAAATGAGACTGAGTGCCACTTGCAGTTCAGTCGCAGAAGGGTCTCCAGTGCACAATGCTGCATGCTGTCTCTTCTGCCAGCTGATGACACATCTGACTGCCTTTAAAGTTCCAGGGCACCGGAAGGTCCTGGCATCACTGAAATGAACGTTCTTAGTACATAGCTTTCATTTAGTTTTAGCTTAAAGTTGCACAAACTCAAAGCCAGGTGTTCTGGTGTATGCCTGGAACTCAGCACTTGGGGGTGGAGGTAGGAGGAGCAGGAGTTTAAGGTCATCCTTGGCCAAACTGGGAGTTTGAAACCAGCTTGGGCCACATGAGTTCCTGCACCCCCCCCCCCTAAAAAAAGCCCATAAAACCAAAAGTTTGAACCAAGTTTCCCTGTTGCAGGACTTCCCTGAAATCCTGGTATGTGGTCTGTTTCCAAGTGAACTCCCCCAGTGTCTTTGGCCATGGATCCTGCTTTTTGTCTTTTTGTTTTGTTTTGTTTTTTTGAGACAGTCTTACTATGTAGTCCTGACTGGACTGGAACTCCCTGTGCAGGCAGATCTCACAGAGATCCACCTGCCTCGATCTGAGTGCTAGTATTAAAGATAGGCAGGTGTGCGGCCATCCATGTGCCCCCAGGCCTGGCTCCTGCATTGCTCCAGGTTAATCCTCAGCAGAAACCACTCTGGAAAATGCTTGCTGGCTTTAGGGATAAAACTCCATTGGAGCTTGGGAGTCCTTGGCAATCAGGTTAGTCCTGCTATCTGTAGAGAGAAGTCTGAACAGGTCCATCATGCCAAGTGATTGGCCTGGCAGTCTGGGCTGCTGGGGAGCATGTGGCAGCTGGGCAAGATTTCTAGAGACAGAGCCCCACAGGGTCTGGGGCATGCCTCTGCAGAAAGCATCAGTTGGCTCATACACAGTACAGGTGAGAGACCCAGGCTTGGGTGGGTGCCTAATATGTGGTGTGCCTGTAAGGTGTGTGGCCCTGGGCAGCCCACAAACCTCACCTTGTGTAACCCAAACCTTACCTTCCTGAAGTAGAGGATGCCTCTGGCCTGGGTCAAAGGCATGGTATCCTTGTCCTTGGTGGACATTGCCACCTCCCTTACCCTGTGGCCTGGACTACTAGGAGAAAGGAAAGGAAGTGCCAGCTTTCCCTTGCCTGCTCGTCACCAGTGGGTACATGGTATCATGGGTCTCAAGTCACTGTGCAGAAATATGCTCTCAAGACATTAAAACACAAGACCAAAGGGTATAGCCACCATCCAAGTGACACTTGTTAGAAGAGCATTAGACATCATGATCACATAACAGTGAGTCACTTGGGGTCTCAAGGTACTACCTGCTCTGGATGGCCTGGCCTCCCTTGCTTATCACTTCTGGTATGGGTCAGCTGGAGTTCTGGGGCCACCTGACAGCTGGTAATATTGAGACTTTGAGTCATAAGCAGTGACCAGCCAGACCTGTCTGCTCTCCTGACAGCATCCTGTGTGAGCAGCTGGCCCTGACAGCAAACCATGGCTCTGGGTAGTGATTTTATACTAGTGTACTGATAGGGTGTGGAGTGACATGGAGAAACCTAAAGGTTCAGAAATAGCAATTCTTACCTGTGAGATAGAAGGGAAATGATATCAGTGGGTGTCCTTCATCACAGAAGGCAGAGAGCGAGGCGTTCCACATTGGCTGAGCCTGGTCCAGAGTGCCACAAGTGTGTTCAGACTTGGCTTGGTGGCTAGAAAGTGACCTGGCAGATGAAGGTCCAACCAGGTTCTGTAAGTTCCTGCATTTCTCTGAGATACCTAAGTGGGAATTCGAGCATGACCACTTCCAGTTATACCTGAACAGAGCTCAGCTGGGACCACTAGACAAGACACCCAGTTCTGGGGTAGTTTACTTAATATCTGTGTAGCATGTAGTTTACTTGGGTTTCAAACTTGTTGACCTTAATATTTATATAGATGCCTTTACAGTTTTGCTTGCTCTTCCAAATCAGCCTCCTGAGATGAAATTACAGGTATGGACCACCCTGCCGGGCTTCCTGTCTCCCTTAGTGTTACACTACAAGTATGCACCACCACACCAGGCTTCTTGTCATTATCAGTGTTATATTACAGGTTTACACTACCACACCTGGCTCCTTGTTGGTGAATGTCGGTATCATGTTACAGATGTGCACCGTCACACCTGACTCTCTGTTGTCAGTGTTATATTACAGATTTGCACCACGACACCTGACTTTCTTTGTTAATGCTACATACATATTTTTTTCTTTTTTCTTCCTGGTCATATTTTCCAAAGTTTGTTTATGGTTTAGCTTTTCGGTAATTATGTTTCCTGGTATGTTATTTTACTTTATGTAGGTCCTTTTTTGTCTTTATTTATAAATCAATTTCTTACATTTGATACCTTCCTCTTGGTGCAGAGGTTGTTGAGTTGGGTGCCCCCACACTTAGTTTTGTAATCAGCTTTCACTGAGTAATCCTGGGTATAAAACTCACATCACGTTTTTTTATTCAGGTCATTTTCCGCGTTGTTAAATCCTAACTATAATGTAGATTATTTTCTCTTGACACTGGGTATAATTACAATTCACAGTTTCTGGGAAGTTTGCTTTTTTTCTGTAATTTTTTTTAAGATGAAAGAAAATTGCTGAAACATGTTGTGCTATATTATAAAGCTGAAGTCTGTGAAGCATTGTGGTACAGGAACAGCAAGAATCACCTGTGGAACCGAGTAGTGTCTGTGATGCCAGTGTGGCTGGGTCTGCAGGACATGGTAAACGCTCACTGCAGAGACATGTTTGAATAGTCAGGTAAGGTGTTTCGTGTAAAGAGTTTGGGTCAAACTCTTTGGAAAATGTTGAGCTGTAACTCCACAGGGAAAATTCAAATGGGGTAGATAGCTGAAATAAGAAGAAAAAAGCCATTCTAATCACTATGTCAGCATGAGGCAGTGTCTTTGTAGTCCCAGAATTCATAACACTTGGTTAACAGGGCACGGAAAGCTAAATAGTAAAGGTGGATCGTGACAGATCTGACCACATAGATGGAAACTGGTAACTGGTAAGAGGCAGTGTTCATTGCAGGAGTCCAAGAGTTGAGATCTGACAGACCAAGACAGTCTAAGCCTGTGTCCTTTGGGATAGTAGGCCCTTGCAAACACTGTAAAACCTACAGGTAGTTCCAAGCCCACCATCCAGCGATTTAGAGAAGAAACACAGAACGTAAGAACAGAGAAGGTAGAGGAACACACGCAGAGCTTGCTAGCTTCCAGTCTGCCACGCACCAGGATCCCAGTGGAGACTCCAGAGTCTTGCTCTCATCCCTGTCACCTGTCACTGCCTACACATCCAGACAGCTGTGGTCTTCCTATAATGTTCTTTGCATTTTCTAGAATCCTGTTTCATTTGTGGGTGTCTGGCTTCTTCATTAGCTGTCACTATTTTGAGATGCCCTCCAGGATTTCTGTTTCCAAGGTGCACTTCAGGTCTGTCTCACCATGTTTAGTAACCTGTTGTTGATTATTTAGATGTTTCTGTTTTTTAATATATTGGATAAGTAAGGTTTTCATGTCTCTGGGAAATGAACTGCTAGATCATATGATAGGTGTTCCAGTTGCTCTGTCCCTGTCAACATGTAGTGGTCAGCCCTCTCGCTTAAACTTCAGGTGTTCCCGTTGCTGCCTGGAGCAGCTTTAGGTCCTACTGTCTGTTGGTGTAGCATCGTCTCTTATCCTTAACTTGCTCTGAACAGCATCTATAAAACATTTTATGGGTTTTATTAGGTTATTTTCTTACTGGGTTTCCAAATATACCTGAATACAAGGATTTTTTGAATTGTGTGTGTGTGTATGCGCATGTGTATGCCCCATGCGTATGTGCTGAAGAGGGTGTTGGATCCCCTGGAGGTGGAGTTCCAGGCAGTTGTGAGCCTTCCAACATGAACACAGAACCAAACTTGTGTTCTCTGGAAGAGCAAAACATGCTCTTAAGACCTTTGATCCATCGCTCTAGCCCCTGGATACCAGTCTTTTATCAGATTATTAATTTGAAAATATTTCTTCCCAGTTGGTGGCTTATACGTGTGTATTTTTTACTTTGAGCATTTAATGGGGTTCTGTGCTCGTCAACAGCATGGTGTGGAGACAGTCTCCCAGTCACTCTGTAGGATTGAAACCAGGTAGGTGCCAGCATGCAGAAGTGCTGCACTGGTCAGTTTACTCCTGGGGAGCAGCGTCTGCTTTAGCCACACCTACTGGGAGTCCCTGCAGTGATGACAGTAGTTTTCACTTGCCCTGTGCACCATGGTGTTTCTGTGCACCTGTCCTGCCCTCACAGGGCCTGCCACGTACTTGGAATGCAGATCATCTATCTGGCTCGGAATATGTGGTAAACAAAGAATAAACCACCTTCTGAAAATGTAATGTGAGGAAAGAATAAAATACTTTGAAGTGATGCTGATTGCATATTGAAATAATGGTTTTTATGTTTTGTTTTGTTTTTATGAGACAAGGTCTCACTATGTAGACCAAGCTAGCCTTGAACTTACAGAGATCTGCCTGCCTCTGCCTCCCAAGTGCTGGGCTTAAAGTTCTTCGCCACCATACCCAGCCTGAAATGATGTTTTTATATTAGTTGGGTAAATATTAAAATTTTGCTGTTTCCTTTTAACTTTTGTTTTTGTTTTTTGAGACGGTCTCACTATATAGATCAGGCTGTTCTCAACCTCATGATGATTCTCCTGCCTCTGCCTGAGTGCCGCCCTGTCTGCTGGGCACCCTCATTTCCACTCTCTTGCCATCACCTTGAAGACAGGCCAGCTGAAACCTTGCCATGCCTACAGGTGCAGGAACTGTGCACCTCACTCCACATCTCACATCTGG